CATTGGTGGTAATTTTTTGAAACTCCTATACAATATGTATACAAATACCTTTTACTCCTGTAAGAAGTGAAGAATTTTTAGCACTGGAGGAGTAAAACAAGGTGATAATCTGAGTCCAACGCTTTTTAATATTTTTATTGATGATTTTGTAAAATATTTCAATACGACAGCCACAGATCCAACATATTTACCTATTAACCACATGTTTTTTGCTGATGATCTTATTCTTGTATCTGAGACACCTAGTGGTTTACAGTCTGAAATGAATAGATAATTTAGGTAAATATTGTCATGATTGGAAATTGTGTGTGAACATGGAAAAAACAAATGTTATGATTTTTTCTCAAAGTACAAATTGTGAAAATGAGTATTGGTTTTACTATAATCATAGCCATATAGAAATAACAAATCAGTATAAATATTTGGGACTAGTGTTTAAATCTGATGGAAAAATGAAATTCTCAGCAGAACAACTGTCAGAAAGAGCTAGAAAAGCTAATTATGCTATAAAAACCAATTTTCCAGCTAATACAAATTTTTCTGTAAAGACAATGCTTAAACTTTATAGATCTATGATTACTCCCATCTTAACTTGTGGTTCTGAAATCTGGATAGCAGACTACAAATGTGATTTATTATCCTCAGATCACTTTCCATTTGAAAAAATACAACACCAGATTTTTAAACACATTTTAGGTGTTCATAGAAAATCATCTAATATTGCTGTTCTACATGAGTTGGGACAGTTCCCACTATTTTATTTGTGTTATGAAAATATGTATAGATTTTATTTAAGACTGAAAAACTTAGAGAGAGAAAATGATTATAATGACCAGTTAGTGGTGTCTGCATATAAGGAAGATAAAACACTGGGATCTAGAATATCTTATCAAAGAAAGCTTTATACTCTACAACAGAAATTGTCTTTACCCTCATTGGACATATCACATTAAACTTTAAAATATAAATTAGAGGAACATTATAGAAACAAGATCAGTGAACAAGTAAAGAACATCTCTAAATCAAATTCTGGGAAATTAACTTTTTATAGTAATATAATTGATTTAAATGAATATAAATTACAAAACTATCTAGAATTACCATGGAAGAAATCTGAAAGGACAATACTAACAAAACTAAGAATTAGTGCTCATACCCTACATATTGAAATGGGGAGATACTCAAGGCCACCTATTCCTAGAGAAAAACGTGTATGTCATTTTTGTAAATTTTTTATTGAAAATGAAAACCATTTTGTACTTTATTGTCCTAGTTATGATCAATGTAGATTACAATATTACGATATATTCAATGCACAATGTTACATGAAGGAAAACCCTATTATTGACATTATCAATCCTACAAGTATTAGAACTGCAAGGAGAGTTTGTAACTTTTTGAAAAAGTGCTTTGATATTAGGAAAGAAAACCTTCAACAAACCTGATATGCTTTCTTTGATATTTTATTTTATGTATGTTAATTGTTGTATTCATGACTATATGCCAATGTATGATGGTGTTGTCAATAAATGAATTGAATTGAATAAATACAACTCTTTTTATAAGGGGCTAGAAGATGTTCATCTATTGAAACGTCACCAGACTTTAAAATAGTATACTTAGATTTCAAAATACCTATGGATATGGAAAGACGATCTTTCATTTTTTTTCCATATGGTTAACTAATAAATAAATGTAAAGTAATATATTTATATATTTCTGCAAAGATACCCCCTTGTGAATCGACAAAAGCTTCTGAATGAATTGGTTGAACAATTTTCCGTTGATTTCTATTGTGAAAAACGCAAATATTTTACCAACATTATTGGGCTTTATTAGGCATAATTTCCGGATACTTTTGATCAGACTTGCACTGACTTATTTATACGTTTAAAAAAACAAAAAGGCGACTTTGATATTCAATAGTGCATTTTACTATTTTCGTGCGATCCTCTGACAATTATTCGACACACTCGCTTGGTATTATTTATTTTTTGCAACAGTATAATCAACTTTCTCAGCTTTCTCAATGCACACACTTGTAATCCCGGCTAATCTGTAAAGGATATGAAGATAACGAACAGTATTCAATATCAAAGTCCATAACACAATACAACATGGGAGCAGAGCAAACATGGACCCCCGAAACACCGAAGGTGGGATAAATGTTATTTAATAATAATTCCTATAGAAGTACATGTATGTTATAGACAAAGATGTAATGTCATTCAGACTGTAACCCCCCCCCCCATCCAAAAGGAATTGGACGAAAAGACTATACCATAGTGAAATAAAAACAAAAATTGCACTTGGTAGCGAATATGCGTACGTATAGCTAAGTGTAATCTTTTTTGCATAGTGATATAGTTACTAGTATAACGACTTACGAGTGTTTATGACTGGAGCTTTTTACTGGTCCAGTGAAATGAAAAAGGTGAAGACAGCAACGTGTTATTGATCTAAAATAATCTAAAATGCAATACAAATTACAAATATACAATACAAAATTGTGACCAGGAAAAAAACCCCACAGAACCCTTGGAAGTCCAGAGATGGGATCAGGTGCCTATAGGAGGAGTAAGCATTCCCTTCGGAACGGTCACACTGTGAGGCCGCTGTATTGATTATGTATAGACGGAACACCCCTTAGTCAAATTTAGTGCTAAATCAAAGGCTGAAATGGGTCTCAATATTAATTGCACCAGCAAAAAAAAAAAACAAACAAACAAAAAAAAAACCTGCATGTGTGCAGTAAATACATAAAAGAAAATTATCAAACCTTCATGCTGTGGTAAATATCTGAATTTTTTTTTTTATTATTAAAACTTAGTATTGTACAAAATTTAATGTTTTTAATTTTGGATCACAAATCCAAACTATTTAAACACCAAAAGCAGATTAAATTTTCGTGTGACCCCCCCCCCCCTTCCCCTCCAAAAAAAAAGTTTACATCTGTTCTTTAGGGTCATCCTCCTATATGCACCTGAAAAAATAATATTTAAAATGATATAAATTAATTTAACACAGAATTTCGTAATATTATTTTTATATTATAAATTTGGTAATATAGTTAAATTACAGAAAATCGTAATATATACTCAACAAAAAAAGAAACGCATATTGTTTTACTTGTCAAAGAAATTTTTAAAATGTACATGAAACAACTATTTTTTATATCATTGGATACCTGTGACCTGTTTAAAGGACAACATGGGGTTTTAAAACCCAAGTGTTGAATTATCTCCCTTGATTAAACATGTTTATGAAAGTAGTGTTTTTCATGATTTCTTCTAAATCAGATGTCTATTTTCATTAATATTTTGGATTTAGAGAAACTTTTAACATTTCTATTAAACCCATATTTAAGATTTGATTGCAGTGTTAATACTGCAATGCCACGCCCAAACAAAGATGAATACAACCAGGCTAACGATGATACTAAATGGAGCTACGCAACAGGAACTTGCAACTGTATTTGAAATAAATCAGTGGGCTTTGCAACCTTAAAACTAACCTCTGAAGACCACTATCTGGCCATCCGCAGGTAACCACAACCAGGCAGGACCGTCAGACACCCCCCCCCCTTCATTAACTCATTCGATTCAGAACTTGTTGTAAAAACTGCTGCTACAATTGCTGGATGAAAAAATCAGCATAAAAATGCATAAATTGTTCGCATGAGAATTAAATGAGATGATATTCCCCCACGATCAGTGGCGGATTTAAGGGGGGGCGCCCCCGGCGCGCCCCCCCCCCCCCCAAATTGTCAAAGTTAGCGTAAATCAAATATGTCTACTTGGTAGACCTCATTTTCACCCTTCAAAATCTCTAGAATCCAGGAGCTTCTGGGGGCTTCGCCCCCTGGGCCCCCATCAGAGCTTTGGTAGACCTCATTTAACCCTTCAAAATCTCTAGAATCCAGGAGCTTCCGGGGGCTTCGCCCCCTGGGTCCCCATCAGGGCTTTGTCCTGGACCCACTGGGGGCCTCAAGCTAGGCGGCCCCCAGACCCCTTGCCTATTTTGGCGCCCCCCCCCCCCTAACTCCAAATCCTGGATCCGCGCCTGAAGATATCCGTACATTGGAAACCCACTAACATTGAGACTTTTCACAGTCAATATTGTTATGCCCCTTGAATTTGGGGGCATGAAAATGACCTCAACTTGACTTTTCAATTTGCAACATTGATTTTTATCACAACACACTCTAAAATCGCTTAAATAATACAAGGTTTAAACTGAAAACTCAGAATTTCAAATTATTCTGATTATGCGTTTCTTCTTTTTATACATGTAGCATTTAAAAAAGAAATCTGCAGAATTGCATTTTTAAAAATCACAACCCCCATTAAAAAGAACAGAACAGCCCTTCAACAGCAGGCGCGGATCCAGAAATTTTTCAAAGGGGGTATTGAAGGACTTTTCAAAGGGGGTTGAAGGGGAAAAAAGTTATTATAACATATGTTGTACTCATACACATAGTTAAATAGCTCAATAGGATAGTTGGAGAATGATCAACCTGGGAAAAAGTATTGATAACATACCAGAAAGTGTTTGAAAAAGAAAGGAAATTAAGAAAATCCTATTTTGTAAAGGGGAAGGGTATTATTTTTTTTAATTGTTTTCACAACTGATTTTCTTTTTAAATTACAAAGTTAAGCTTTTCTAAACAGTTTCTATGTTAAAAACACAACAAAAAATTGGATTTTTTTCTTTCTCTTTCTTTTTTGCGAATCCAAAGGGGGGGTTGCAACCCCCGTAACCCCCCCTCTGGATCCGCCACTGAACAGGGTGGAGCAATAAAATATCTGTAAACATGTATATACTGCCTCACTATTGAGCTAGCTTTTCTAGAAATGCTGTAGATCACATGTAGATTGTCCAGCTAGCTTTTCCGGTCCAGATCAGATACAACTCTCTCTCTTTCTCTCTCTCTCTCTCTCTCTCTCATTAAAATTCGCGATTTGACGGAAATCCGATTGCGTAGTGAAGGAGCGGTAACTCTTTTATAGGTCTATGGACATGATCAAAATCGAAAGTAGGATTGTCCCAACAAAAACATTTTTTAATCTGGTAAGTTTTATTTTTCATTTACTTACATTTAAATTGTGTATTTTTAAGGATAGTTAAAAGCAGATGTTAAATAGTTTGAATTAAAAATAGATATCGATGTTTTGAATAATTTTATCAGCACATAGGCCTAGAACAAGCTTGTTTAGATCGAAATCTAAGATTAACAGGAAATGGGATATGTATGACCTGGGACCCCTGCATCACTATATAGTCAGGTGCTCTAACGATTTAGCCGCCCAATATGCACGGCACAAACCATTGTACTTTCCCAGCCAGGTGCTCTACTGACTGGACTAGCCAGTTTGAAATATCAACTGCCCAAACCATTACATTAATTAGTAGTCGCTGTATACTATTGTAAAACTGTGATTCAAATGAATGATTGATTGAGTATGTAAGAGAAAGAACATGATATTGCATGTATATCCTGTTCAAAAGTGAAAAAAGAGTGCTGTTTTATTTATTATCAGACCTGGCGGCAGAACTGGGGGGAGGGGGGGGGGGTCAAAGGCTATCCTATTTTATTTTGAGTATATTGCTAGATTTGTGATAGCAATATACTCAGAATAAAAATAGGGATGGCCTTTGACCCTTTTGATCCCCCCATGTAAGGTCGAGCATTGGCAAAGTTAGGGGATTTGGAAAGGTACATGTAATGAAGTGGGTTTTTTTCCAAATTATTTCGGGAATTTGACAGCTCCCCCCCCCCTCCCCTCAACTTTTTAAACGTTAAACCAATCCCCCTACAACCTTGCACATTTCAAACTTAATATTGCTAGGGGCCTGATATCTACATGTAATGTTATAATTGGAAACAGGGGAGGGGTGCAGGTTGTCTTTGTGATTATACATGTACATGTAACTTCCTATATTGTCAACTTACCCATTCTATGTTTTTCTATGTTATGAAAAAATGAAAATAAAAAAAAGAGGATATTATGAAACATCCTCCTTATTAATGTATGTTATACAAACAGGAAGAAAATGTTTTTTCATGAAATGGTCTGACATATTCAAGGTTAATTAAATATTGGTACATATGGTATACCAAATCTACTTTTATAATTTATCTTATGTATATATTTGTTTTGGGATCATTCTATTTTTCGTTTCATCTTAAGTAATCTTAAATCCTTTTATCTTCAATTTAATTGGTTCATTTAATATTATCCAATTGTTTAAAACCTTGAGTATAAGTAACCGTTCAAACTAAGCAAAATTGGGCAGTATATAACATTTTAAAGAAGAAATTATTTCCATGCAGTTGATATCCGATGCATCTTGTTGTATGTAACTTTCGTATTTAATATGTATGCTGCAGAAAGGGTATCTTAATGTCAATGTTTATGAAAGTACATGTAAATTGTTTTTTTTTCTAAATGTATTCTTTATTTTTGTTTTAGGCCATGTCTTTTTTCCATATACATGTGCTTCATAAATGAAATGGATACTACCATCTTATTCATCATTTTCCCTTAACTGCTCGGTTACTTACAGTAACTGGCTGAATAGACCAGTATCAAAAATGAGGGTTTTTTAATGAACCACATATATAAAATTATTATTTTTCGAAGAATTTTGATTTTTTTTTTAAAACTCCGCTGCCATTTTACAAAAATACGACCCGCGCTTCTCAACTCACTAATCTTTTCAAGAAAGCAGAAAGATTACAAATCACGACAAACACTTGATGATGCACAGTTAGTTAAATTCTCATTTCTCTAGATGTTTCTCTCAAAGTCTGTATATGAAATACGGTTTTTGTATAATCGCTTGATTTATCATGTATTTGCAGGTATGATCCGAACTTTCCTTATATTAATATGACCCGATAATTACGGGTACTGGTGTTGTTTCTGTTGGTATCAATATTATCATGAGAATGTAACACCGGGAAGAGAAAGAAAGAAGAAGAAGAAAGAAATGACAGAAAATCTTGTGTGTTAGAATGGGAAAATATTCTGTGTTGTTCCTCATTTTACAGTTATTAAAAGTAATACAAACTTAAAGGAGTTATATTAGTTATTCATTTACATCTGTTTTAATTTTATATTTATGAAGTTTTAACTTTTCACAGTTAAAAACAAATCTTTAAAAAAATATACGAATAACAAGTATATTATTAATATTTTTTTTTATTTGGACAGATAACTCAAGTTGAGACATTCACTAAACCTTGTAATGCATCCCTGCTGACAGTTTCCATTGTTACCCGTTGTCCCACAGACGAAGCATCTTATAACATATCTGCCCGCCAAAAGAACTGTTCATCATTGGTGGATAGCAGCAGTTGTGAATCCTTCGAATACCATTGTGTTTTGAGCGAAGATCTCAATAGTGCCATTGAAGTATGTGCGCCATCATTTTTTATAATAGGTATGTTGAGAACACTTACTCTTTTTGATTGCTTTTTATCCCCTCGCACAACTAGCTGCGGAGGGGATATAGCATCGCGAATGTGCGTATGTGTGTGTGTTAGTGTGTGTGTTCGTTACACCTTGTTGGCATTGACAGAAACCTTTGCATTAACCATTCTCAGCATTTACGTACGTGTGTGGCAGTATGAAAGGATGAAGCCTATTCATTTTCAAGTTCATTTAATGAAATTCTTCTTCAGATATCTGTGTTTTTACTGCCTCGAAACCCTGACATTTTTTGTACGAATTGACAATAATCATTTGTTGGCAAGATTGACAGAGAACCTTTGCATTAACCACTCCCAGCGTTTACATATACTTGTGTGGCATTATAAAAAGATTAAGAATTTGTTGAACATCGCGGTTTTATTACCAAATTCCAACAGGTGTCTGGGAATTTGGGCTGCATGTTATTCCTGTAAGCTGTAATGCAATTTGATTTTTGTTAAAAATAGACATCCTCCACCCCAATAATTTTGTTTAAATAATAAATAGTGCTGAAAAACAATTTAATATCTTATATTAACAGTGTATTATTTAAAATTGAATTATTTAAAACTTTTGCATTTTGTAAAAAATGGATCAACAACAACACCTCACTAATGATTTTGTCAAAGGTAAGGGAGTTGATCCTTATGTTGCGGGTTTGAATCTCTTTGTGGAACGTGAAGACTGGTCCTTCGAATGAGACCCTGTAAACCAAGGGCCTATATCCCAGTAGATGCGTGCATAAAAAGATCCCTCACTGCTCAATGGTCGTCAGTTCAGACAGTTCCTATTATATTGATTGATTGATTGTATATTGTTTAACGTCCCTCTCGAGAATTTTTCAATCATATGGAGACGTCACCAATGCCGGTGAAGGGCTTCAAATTTAGACCTATACTCGGCACTCAGGGCCATTGAGCAGTGAGGGTTCTTTATCGTGCCAACGCCTACCGGGACACGGGACCTACGTTTTTAAGGTCATATCCGAAAGACCCGTGACTTTCACCTCTAGTGCCGAGCGCTTGGCGAAGGAACAGTCACTACCTTTGTTTACGTCTTAGGTATGACGCGGCGCCGCGAACGAGAATCGAACCCGGACCTCCCGATCACGAAGCGAACGCTCTACCACTAGGCTACCGTGACCGGTAGTTCCTATTATAGAAAAAGAATGTGCAGCTCTCCACCGGCAGGCCTTGTAGCAACCTCTAATGATAAAACGCCGCTTAATGATACAAATAGCATTAAGAGTTGCAATTGCAACGCTAAATGCCATCAATCATTGCATTAATAGCTGACATCATCAACCGCTAATGCTAAATCGCCGCTTAATGACAGAATTATATCATTAAGCGTCACAAATGCAATTCAACACCGACGCTTAATGCAACAAGCAAATATCGACATATTCGACGCTTAATGATACACACTGGTGTACCATTAAGCGTTGCAGTTGCAACCCTTAATGATATAAAATTTCGAAATCGCTTGTTATATCTAAGAGAAACACACATCTATCTTTCCTGAACAATGCGATATCACTTGTCAAAATATTCATATATGCTCTTGTGCTATATAAATAGTAATTATTGATGTTTTACTGTGTTTTCTATCTAGTCAAGGGAACGTCGTTAAGCCTCGGATGTTTAAGAGACAGATAGTCAGATAGCTAGAAGAAAGAGATACAAACAAAGGAATAAATAAAATGATATTCAAATCCTTTTAAAAGAACCTTTTTTTATTACTGAAAATACAGAATTCCTTTTAATTTGATACAATGATTTCAATACTCAACCTAAAATTTATAGAATATGTTTAAATATTCCAGACTTTGTATTTTAGATTTGATACAGCTTAACACATGTCACTGTTAACGTGTCAGATATACGTATCGAGAAATAAATTCATAATTTTCACTATAATTGTATTTTTAATCTGCTTCGTTTCTCCAAATTTCGATAAAGAGAGACATCAATATTGACTATTTATGTTTAAGGATATTAAACACAAAGAATGCAAATGTATGCAATACATTGAATAATATGTTATTTTGAGAAAAGGTTCATCATCCTTTATTTGCTATCAGTTTTACTTGAATGCATTACTGTGGCATGATTATTTAAGAATCAATTTTGAAAACTAGTACATGTATATAATTGTCAAATTATGAAAACCATGTCGAATGAAGTTGATGAAGCTTATGTTTTTAAAATTCTAAATGACGCATACTTCATTTTGTAGTATATTTGCCTGTCTGTCTGTCCGTCTGTCTATAAACAATTTTTTAAATGCTACTACTCCTGCAGTTTTGGTCTGATTTCAATATAACTTAGCACACAAATAGACTACACTAAGATACTTAATTTCTGCATTGGTTTTTGATTTCTTCCTTTGTTACTAAAGATAGAAATAATATAATAAAATGCTACTTATCCAACATTTTTTGTCTGATTTCTAAATAACTTAGCTCACATGTAGACTACATTTAAAGATATAGTTTTTTGATTTCGATCAATGGTGTTGCCGTGGTTACTAAAATAGAAATTTCTGTGAAATTCATTCAAAATGCTACTGATCCTACAGTTTTAGTCAGATTGTAATATAATTTGGCATGCAAGTAGACTATACTGGCATACACTATTATCAGTTTCGTATTTTGAGTGTGTTGATTGATGTTGCCATGGTAACTAATATTAAAAATTCTGTAAAATTTTATTGAAAGCTATAACTACTGTTATAGTTTTATTGCAATCTTGCCACAAAAAATAGACTTAATTAAGGACCATTATTCTTTTTATTGCTTTTATAAAGTTTTATGCCCCAATTGCTACTTTTTTCTTCCTTTATTATTAGTAAGTACAAACGAGTAGAGCTACAGTCTCGACAGAGATAATTTTTTTCTTTCGATATATAAGACTAAGTTTACATCTGACTAATATTAAAATGAAATAGATTTAAATGAATAGTCCTTTTTTCGGTACAAGAGAGACCCTCTCTATTAATGCATATACTAGTATTCATTTCTTGTATATTATTCTTTTAGAAAAATGGTCCTTCTCCCAAAAAAAATGTTGGAACCTTTTTCTCAATCTTAACCTTGAAATGTAATGAAATATTAGGAATAGGAGTCAAAACGTCATTACATCAAAGTTTCAAAGTTTTTACTATTGTTAATTAAATTCCAAAGTTTTCATTGTAGTAAATCAAGGTTTTTACTACAAAGTTCCAAAGTTTTCACTATTAATAGTAAATTTAAGTTCTAAATGTTTACTTTGGTACTATAGTTAACTTAAGTAAACTGTAGTATTTTTTAAGGATATGTTCGTTTTTCTACACCAGCCGTGAAAAAAAAACTTATTTCACTTTGTCGTCTAATGTAACATCACCGACTTTCTCATCAAAATAAAACAAAACGCCGATCAAACTACGCTGTAGTTTAATGGAAGTGTTCAATTTAAGGAGAAGTAATGAGACAAAGATTGTTTGTAAGCGTCGGGATGGGATGGGGTAGGGGTTATTTACATTAATAGATATTTTATGTTGGTTAAGGTAGGATTCTTCTCGCATTTCTTGTATTTAAAAATTAATGAAATGATCACAGAATCAAGAGGACAATATTTGTGATGGTATCAGTTAGAATAAATTTGACCGTTTAATATTAGAGGCAAGGGTTAGGTCAAGGTCATATCCTGGAAATTAAGGTCAGACGACACGTTCCTTAAAAATATGCTATAAGATACAGATCTATAAGATGTTTTGTATCTCTTGGAATAAGATAAATAATATTCATATTTGGCATTCTCTTCTGATTTCTACATTGTTTTCAAAATGTTTTAAAATATAGGTACACCAAAAATGGTGAGATAGGCCGTTCAGAGTATTATTCATAAGGGTTATATAAGAAATATGAACCTTTGGTATCTTGTCCAAATGGCTGGTAAGGTACTCTTATTTTTTGCGAGGAATCTTGTTTAAGTACCTATTCTGCAATGACAATCTCTTAAGAAAAATTATATATTTTTGAGGAACGTGTCGTCTGACCTTAACATTAATTTAAAACCAGATATCTCTGTCAAGAATGTAGCTCTTCTGGTTTGTACTTATAACAAAGGATGAGAAAAGAAGCCATCACCATCAGACCAAACCTGTAGAAGGAGTAGCGTTTTAAATGGAATTTCACAGAAATTTCTATTTTTACTTATCATGGCAACCTTGTTCATCAAAATCAAAACTGATGCACTATTTTATGTATTTTAGTGTAGTCTACTTGTGTGAGTTATATTGAAATCAGACAAAAAATGTAGGAAAGGTAGTGTTTTAAAGAAATTTCACAGAAAATTCTATTTTTAATAAACATGGCAACACTGTTCATCGAAATCAAAAAACCGATGAAATATCCTATGTATCTTAGTGAAGTATATTTGTGTGCCATTTTATACTGAAATCAGACCAAAACTGTAGGAGGACTAGCGTTTTAAAAAAAAATTGTTTACAGACAGACAGCTAGCTATATACGTATATAGACGGACGGACGCATCACTATAGCATAAGCTCTTCTAGTCTCTGACCAGTAGAGCTAAAAATTACTGTTTCCAATAATGCAATCCCTACTTGTAGTTCAAAAGATTATTATTTTTTTTATTTTTGCACAAAAAGAGACTGCCATATAGGTATATATGGGTAATTTAGATAAAATGGATATATGCTCTAATTTTCTTAAATTTTTAGGATTTATTTGTTATTTTTATATGCTTCCTATACATATATTTAAATTCTTCCAATTTTCACATATAGTAAAGTTGGCACATAAAAATACAAAATGATACAAAAACTAATAGTTTTGATCGTTTACTAAGATAACACTTTTTACGGATCTTTGGATCAAATCTGTACTTGGATTTGAAGCATTTAAAAGCAAACATAGTTCTAGTATGTGTGAAAAATCTTATTTATTTGATATATTTTGAAACTTTA